GTAGCAAAGCAAACATAATCTAATCAAGTGAAACAGGAAGGTCACGGTATGGATCCATTACTCTTTAAAACAAACCAAACCTCACAGGGAAGGGAACAGAGGTAAAGTGATGAGCAATTGATTGTAAGCAGTAAGTGAGGATGGAGAAGACAGAGGTAGTAATTAAGATATTTGATAAATTTGAGAAAAAAGCTCAGTGAGTTAGATCTAAAGCTAATATTTATTTCAAATCTAGAGGCTTCAGGGGAAAAATGTGGCTCTCTTTATCATCGATACAGCTGAAAGTTATAGATAAATCTTCTTTAATGATCTCAGCTCCCTGTTAAGGAAGTCTTTAGCCAGTTAGCAGGCGACTTGGCAAATTGGGAACTATCCCCATTAACTTGCCCAAGAAAGTGTAGTTTTAATCCATGCAGTACAGGTTGTTGGAAGTTGGAGTGTGGAAAGATCGGTCCTCAGGATTTTTGTCAGTTGTCTTCTGTCAGTGCATGTTAAACTTAAAGCTTTAGTCTCTTGTAACTTCTCACCAATTGATATCTGTGCTACTATTGTTAATTAGTATTACTTGTGTTCTGTATAAGCTTTTTCCTTAAGTTATTTTGTATCTGAATAATAACTTTGAAGTGTGAGTAAGCTTAATATTAGACTTAAATAGAACAGCTTGGGTTTTTTTTTCTGCCTGTACAGGATGTAGTCATGCAATGCACTTTCTAAAATCCTAAGTCTAGAAAAAATAGCAGTCTACATAAGTGCCTCTGTGGTTGCTACTGTGCAGGGGGGAAAGTAAATTTACTGCTTCTGTCTCTTCTTGGGATTGATACAGGAGAAGTGACACATTGCTGCAGACCCCTTCTGCTCTCAGATTATTACGTGCCTCAGGAGCTCTCTTGTGTTTGTTGTCTGCACAGTTCATTCCGGAGGTGTAATGTAGCTTGAATCACTAAGCAAAAGCTCTTTTGGTCTGTTAATGACTGTATTGCATTCTGTTGACTGATAGAGAGATATGTGTGTTGCCATAGAATGGCATTCACTGTAATGATGTGTGCAGGTATCGAGCAGTCTTAACACTGCGAGTCAGGATTGTGTCTTGGCTAAAAATTGGGCACCTGCTACACTGCTTCAACTTCTTAGTCCCCTATGAACAGATGTAGCTTGGGGTCTTGGCAACAATATTCCCTAAAGGACAGCAAAGTCACTTATTCATGTAAATGAAAGCGGTTGAAATACAGAGAGTTTATTCTTTCTGTTGTTGTTTTTCAAGTGGGAGATGTATGGTTACCTTACCCTTTTGTATGACTCTGATCAAAGAAAGCGCATCTGAATAACAGGCAAACTTTTATATGCTGATTAACAGTGAGGGTGGTGTGTGGAAAAAGAACATCTCTGTAATGAATCTGGATGTTTAAGTCATAAAATAACATGACCAAATTCACTGACAGCATTATCAGACTGAGTACCAGTTTCTTTCCTTAGCAATCCTTTGCTGGAATTTAAGCCAGTCAGGTGTTGAAATGTTTGGGGATAATTTGAAAACTAGTATTTTAGCAATTCAATGCTACTATATGTTAAGTTAGTTAAACACTAAGAAATGAAAGGAGGTAAATAATCATAAAAGTCTAAACTATCATAAGGTCAGCACTTCTGCTCATTTTCTATAATATATAATAATAAATGCAGTTTCTGAATGTCAACATTGGTATGGCTCAAGAATTGCAGCTTCAAATGTTTTAGGTACAGTCAATATTGTTTGGTTTTTTTTGTCCACAGTGACAAAATTAACTTGTTTAAAGGCATTACTTGCATCTAAATATTTCATGTTCATCATGGATTGGAATTTAGTATTCTTACAGTGAATCATTATTTTTGCTTTTTTGTTAGTACAGAAGGTAAAAAAAGTAAATAATGAGTTTGACTTGTAAGCAATTTCACAGGTTTTCTGCTGACCTAGTATAGGAGAGTTGTTAAATTTCTCATCACCTTGTGAAACCAGGTCATCTAGTTAGATATGCTCATTTCATTTTTTCAACTGAGAAGTCAGTTAATGTATGAGCTATTGGCCCCAAGAGGGAGGAAAAAAAACCAGCAAGATTTCTCTACAAAGCCCTTCTTTGTTTTGAATGATATCTGAGTGAATTCTGAGCTACTTAAATTTCTTGCAGTGTAAATCATTCTTTTCCTTAATGTTAACACAGCATATATTTTCCTCTCTTAGATCATTCATGCAATGAAAGAACTTTCTCAGTTTTATAGTATGCAAAACTGTGTTATATCTGTTAGGATATAATTTAAGATACAGCTTTTGCCCAAAAGAAATTACATTCTTAATGAATGCTATCCTGTTTCCATATCCGTAAAATTATGAGAATGTACTTTTAGAAATGTTCCTGAGTTATTGCTTCTGTGGTGGGTGTATTTCAATTATGCTATGATTTTGGCCTCTACTGGCATTATGCAAAGTTATTTGTTACTTCTGTCAACTTCTGTTTCTAATGCTGCTGTTTCCATAGACAAATGGACTTGGATGAAATCATGAACCTCTGTATGGTTTGTGTTATTTGCATGTTTAAAAAAAAACCCCAGAACTGTGTTGTTCTGGCTCATGTTTTGGAGCTATGTAGTTCTCTCTCTAAAAGTCAATGCGGTTGCTACTGTTTGACATACTTTCTAGAAATTATCCTGAAACTGTTTTTTTCCAAGTTTAGGCTACAATCAGAGTTAATATGTTTGTTTGTTTATTTATCTACAATCTTCTCTCCTGTGTGCAATCAGATGGTCGGAAAACATCTGCTGCTCCTACTCAGGTTTTTGATCTCATCAGTTTGTCAACTAATCTTTTGTTTCAACAAATTCATCTTGTTTGTTTTTATCTGTAGTCACTTTTTCATGTAAAAGTCATTACTGTTTATTTTCATACTAGTTCTCCATCTTTTTTCCAATGATCAGTCTTCAGTGCCAGCAATTGTGGAAAAAATGCATTTGTTCTGTTTTGGGACTTCTGCATATGTTTTACAAATGTACAAATCCTCTTCACCATCTTAAGGACTTCAAGGTTATAAAGTCAAGCAGTCTGTAATGAGGAGAAATAACTTCTAAGTCTAGCTGCTGCTTGTAGCAATTAATCCACTCTTTGTGTATGCTTTATCTTAATTCTCTGTGAGGTAGTATTTTTATTGCAATAGAGATACTGCTTTGACTTTTGCTCACAGTGTTCAGCTTGCACCAAATGGCTTTCTGCAAATTTGATGCTGGGTCAGAAAAAGATACAGAAAGCATTTGGATAAAGTTGTATTTTTTTTTTTTATGTGACCAGCTTGCCAGTTCAGAGGACATTTGATACTTCTCTATTTATTCAATATCATAGCATTATCTCGTTCATTCATTGCAAATCATCTCACCTGAGAATTAACAAATATATAAAAGGTTCTGTAGACCAGCTCCTGAGTATCTTCCTAGTATAGTGTTATCTTATGAACTGGATGATTTGGGCAAGAGGGGAACATGAGGATGGAACAAGAAAAATCTTGTCATGTAATGCATTCCCAAAAAAGGTATCTAACTGAGGCAATACATTGATTTGAATTCCATAAATTTTGAGATTTTCAGTTGGTAATACTTTTGTCTTTATATGCACAAGTGTATATCTGTGTGCAATGCATGCAAAGAAAGGAGAAATAGTATAATTGTATTGAAGTAAATAAGAATTGGCTGTTCGATGAGGTCAGGATTTTACCAGCTTTATAGTGTTTCCAAGCCTCCCCACGTTTACATGTAATACCACTAACTCCAGATTTAATGTGCCCTTCATACAAGGCAACTTTTTGGAGGAAGAAAGGCAGGGACGTGTGTTTTGTCAAAATGCAGTTTATTCCTTATGTCATAATTGCCTCATAGTCTACTGCTTCCAACATCTGTTTAATAAAGTGAAATCTAGAAAAGGTGTCCTTCGTTGCCTTATGCCAACTACGTGCATAGGTAAATAGCAACGGTGATGCTGAATGATGTGCTTTGTGCGAGCTGTACACCTTCTGTGTCGTGCATTAGAGGGTGGTGGGCGAGACCTTGCGTGCTGCTGTGTAGCTTCCATTTTTCTCTGAACAGAAACCCAGGAGTAAGGGGGGTTGCAGTTGTGCGGTGTTAGGAAATGGATTAGAAAGAAATAATATAATTGGCAAGCAGGCAAAAAAAGTTTCACTACCTTGTGCGGTTGGCTGATGGAGTTGGGTGAGCTCTCGGAAGAGGAGAGGATTAATAGTAGGAAAACTGTTACTGAAACTATTTTGTTCTTTGATACAAATTCTGTTCATAAATGCCTCCTCTTGCTTACTCGCTTTGGAACCTCTTTTATATTTTTAACTTCACGTCTATGCTTTGTTTGTGTCTGTGTTCTACCCCATTCCTGTTGTTCTGAATTTCAAAAAATATCTCCTCAACTTCCATCAATTGCTTTACTCTTTAAATGTGTAAATTTTCCAACAGAGTAGATGATTTGGTAATCTACTGGTGATGTGGTTTATAAATAATTGGGGGTAGGGGTGAAGGGTGACAGCTTTTCAACTTTTATTATGCCTAAAAATTGCCGTAAATCTATAAAATCTTGGGGACAGAATCTTGCCTATTATAATTTTCTTTGTTTCTGTAAGATCTTTTCCCACAGAGTATAAGCATCTTTAGAGAGGCAAAGGAGAAAAGTACAGTGGCAAGTATGGGTGTTAAAATGTAATAAATGTGCTCAAACACTAATCTATTTGGATGTCTGTATAGACAGTTGACATTTTTTCCTAAAGCTGTATCTACAATCTTAAAATTTTGTGCAGAAAAAGACACAAATTTAAGGAAGAGAAAGTTTTTAGGAAAAGTCTAATGAAAAACAGGGAAAAGGTCATTAAGATGGTAAAATGTCCAGTACAAGTGCTGTGTAGGCAAGTGGGGACCTTGGCATATGGAACTGTAGTTGATCCCAAGGTTTCTAAAGCTTATAAAATAAATTCATGTTATTTCAGCTGGGAAGTTTTGAGATTCCTTCTGTCTAATTTGAGGATGTGGATTGAAGACTATCGCTTTGATGGCTTCAGATTTGATGGTGTTACATCTATGCTGTATCACCATCATGGGATTGGTAAGTAATTTAATCAACTCTAATGTGAGCAATCCTGTTGCATCTCTGTTGCTGAAGAAATAGTATTTTAAAAATTCATTGGATGCTCAAAAAAATCCAGATTTGCTAATATCTTGTTGGGCAGCTACATGGGTAGATCTGAAATTATGAATGAATTTCATGCTTATAAAATTGCATACTGCAAAATATCTTGGGGTTTGGGGTTTTTTTTACTTGTTTTGTTTTGGTTTGGTTTTTTAATGTGGCCTTTAAAACTTCCTGTCTTATTAGGCACAGGATTCAGTGGAGATTACAATGAATATTTTGGCCTACATGTGGATGAAGATGCTTTGTGTTACCTGATGCTGGCCAACCACATGATTAAATTCTTGCATCCAGAATGCATAACCATAGCAGAGGTAAGATCAGGATTTGCCATCCTCTGTGACATTAATATCGATTAGTTTGATTTGGGATGTGAATTTCCTGTTAATTATCAAGGGTACTCAAGGAGTGACAGGAGCTGAGAAACATTAATTACTGGACAAACTGCCTTGTGGGGAAAAACAATGGGAATATATACTTTGAGAATTTTCTCTGCATTAATGGGCCATTAATTAAGATGGGGCTTTATTTTTTTTTCTTCATCTCCTTGAACTTGTAATGAGATTTGTTTCTATTAGTTTATTGCTTTTGCATGATTGTCATTTGTCACTAGTGATTCATGGTACCAAAGATTAACAGCCCTAGTGTTGTTTTGCATATTTTGAGTTATATTGGCATAATTGACAATTCCCCTTCAACATAAATGTGGTATACTTATAAATGTTGAATGGGTGTACTAATTTAAATTTAGTATTAAGTTTCTCCAGAATTCTGAGGGAGTAAATGAACTAGATGGAGTTGCTTGAAGTCAATTAAACTTTCTGACTGAAAAACGTTATTGTTGGCACATGGAATTTTTAATAGTACAAAACACCAGAGCATTAAAGTTCTACGAATAGATACATTTTCATTAAAATATTCTCTTTATCTAAAAGAAGGACATAATGCAAACCTTGAGAATTTTTCTATTACTATGTTTAAATAATTCTTTTCATTTAAAAGGAAAAGTTGCGTCTATCTGATAACATTGGGGACTATACAGATCTTCAATAAAACTTTCTGTATTGCTTAAAAGTTCACTATTTATCTTCAGAAAGCAACGTACTGCTTAACTTTATTTTTCACTTACGGTCAAGTTTTATATTATAGACAACCGCTGCTAAAAGCTTAGTGAGAAGCTATCAAAAATAGCGTCTGATATGCAATTACTAGTAAACTTGAGATGGTTTCCTTGGGCTGTAGGCTTATTTGAAGTGAAATGTGTTCATCTTCTAGGTAGTCTTAGTTTATAAGCATTACTACCAATGAAATTCTGACTTCAGTCTGCTTTTGTTACCTGGCGTAAGAGTTCTTTTTAATAAAATGTGTCTTCAGTTTCTCTTGAGTTGAAAAATGCTTCTGTTTCAACCCATCATTTTTCTGCCTGGGCGAGTCACTACATGAAATACAGAATTTATCAATGTGCTTCGTGGTTAAAGGAGAATTTCAGAAGGAGAAACTATTGATATAATTCAAAATTACAGAAGGCAGTGAAAAATGTCTGCTTGCCTATAATGATGATGGAATGAGTGCCACATTGGAAAAATATTTTTGTCTAGCCATAACTAATTATAAAATGTTTCTTAATTATTTAACTGGTAATTTACAGCTTTTTAATATTCTATGTATTCACTGTCGTAGTAATTTCTAAGTTTTTAGGTATTACTGACTGTGTGTTTATTTTTCATTTTGGCCTTCTAAATCAAGTTGTGATTAAAGTTTTGTATAATGAGAAGAAAAAACATTAAGTAAAATTACATCATGCTTGAAGTATTATCAAAACAAACAGACAAAAAACCCCTGCTGCTGTGATTTGGTTTTTTACATGCAGCTCATTTCAGACTAAGCCCTGAACAAATGCTTTCGGATTGACTGTTTACATTTGGTAGAAAATATACTGGATATTTTTTTTAATAGTCTTCAAGTAAAATCTGTAGATGTAAGTAGTATTAAATTTGGATTTTTGCTTCCCAAGAATCTGACTCTTAAAATTGTGACTAAGGTAGATGGGAACTACTTAAATCTCAGACTCTAACCTAGTCCAGGTAGGCATCATAACATCACAGTGAAAGGCTTTTGTTTCAGATCATCTTGTCCTGAATAGCTTGGAGAACATTATTCTGTTTTTATCCTTTCTGACTGATTTAGGAGAACTATTGAACTTCCTTTTATAATATCTAAAAGTTTGAAAATAATTTCTGCTTCAGTGCTTGGTATTTACAATATGTGGATGCAGTTTTCTGTGTGATCTAATGACTGCTGAGTGAAGGAGGATAATCTCCTCATTTGAACTCATGGGTTTTCCGTTTGTATAGCCAAGAGTGCTGCTGGCCATTTCTGCTGCCAGGGCAGGCTGCTGGCTCATGCTCAGCTTGCAGCTGGCCCGGAGCCCGAGTCTTCCCAGCAGAGCTACTCCCCAGCCTGGCAGTCCCCAGTCTGTGTGGATGCAGGACTTATTCCAAGCCAGGGGCAGGATTTGACAATTGCCCTTACTTAACTCCCTGAGCTTGCTGTTTGATCGATTCCATCAGCCAGTCACAGTCCTTCTGGATAGCAGCCCTGCCTTCCACCCCCCAGGATGTCATTCGTGAGCTTCATAATGATCTGCTCTGTCTCCTCACTTTGAGGCCACATCTAGAATACTTGTTCAGTTCTGGGCTCCCCAGTTCAAAAAGGACAAGGAGCTACTGGAGAGAGTCCAGCATAGAGCCACTAAGATGATGAAGGGACTGGAGCATCTCCCATATGAAGGAAAGGCTGAGAGAGCTGGATCTGTTAAGCCTGGAGAAGAGGAGACTGAGGAAGGATCTAATGAATTCTTACAAATATCTAAAGGGCAGGTGTCAAGAGGGTGGGACCAGACTCGGTTGTGCCCAGTGACAGGACAAGGGGCAGTGGTCACAAACTGAAACACAGGAGGTTCAAACTAAGCCTAAGGAAAAACTTTTTTACTGTGAGGGTGACAGCACTGAACAGACTGCCCAGAGAGGCTGTAGATAGAGTCTCCTTCTCTGGAGACATTCAAAACCTGCCTGGATGCTTTCCTGTGTGACCTGGTCTAGGTGATCCTGCTCTGGCGGGGGGGTTGGACTGGATGGTCTTCAGAGATCCCTTCCAGCTCCTAACATTCTGTGATTCTGTGATGATGTCAGTATGGGGGCGGTGGGTTGGGGTGCTTGTGTGTGTGCATGTATGGCTATGTGTGTATAACTTAAAGTGCAAATATCTTTTTCACTAGTCTAATGCAGCAATTGGATTGAAAACTGGATTGAACCTGGAAAAACCAGACTGAGCTTCCTAATTAAGCCCTGGGTCTAGTCAAAATTTAATTTTGTAAATTTTCTTGTGCAGACGCAAGAGATGTATGTTAATCCATAGCCATTGTGCTGGAATGGCTTCTCACTGACATAAGTTAATAACATTGAATACTATAGATATTTTTTAATTATTGGAGATTTGCATTTTCTGTACTGATAAACTTGTTTTAGAAGAAGAATCCTATGTGACATAATTGCCTGATAAAATGATGAAATAAATATTTTAAGAACTTTGAATTATGAATTTAAGAATGATCAGCCTTCATCAATATGAAACTGAAAAATTATGCAGTAAGAGCGTGTCACTTTCCTGGGCTAACTGGATCAGTAGTTTTTGTTTTGTCGGTTTAGGAAAAGAGTAGAGATTGTATTTCTCTTCCTTACTGTACTTTATATTCAGCCTTTTATTTTTATGCCATTCTTTATGCAAAATATCAATAAACAAAATGAAGGTTTGTCTTTTGTTTACTGCTTTCTATTGATTACTTGAAGCCCAGGAGAGCTAATTATTTTGAATTCTGCATCTACTGCAGTCTCTTCCCCCTCAAATATCTACTAATGTTTTGTAGTAGAGTATTTGAAGAGAGAAGTTATACTGCTTTTTCCTGTAACTTTTGCATTCAAACAGTAAACCTGGCTGTAGTCATCACTCACTTCCCCCCCGCCCCCTCCCCCCCCTCCTTACCCAGGTCAACTTATGAAGCTGCTTATATAAACACTCTGTTAACTGTAGAAGTATTGCTGCATGGTAGAAAATCTGAACTAATAATTGCAGTGCTATGCAAATCATATTGTTGTTTTGTTTTTGTTTTATTTAAGGATGTTTCTGGAATGCCAGCTCTTTGTCGTCCTGTTGCAGAAGGAGGAGGAGGTTTTGATTATCGTCTTGCCATGGCTATTCCAGATAAATGGATACAGGTGAGAACTTTAAAAAAAAAATACGTTCTGCACTTCAAAGTGGGATGTTTCTCTATCTCTTCGTACACAAAACCACTTCTGACACATACATACTGACCAACTTTACTCTCTCTTTTGTTAATGTCCTATTAAAAATAAATTTAGACGGGCTTAAGCACAGATATTAGTGGCTGAAATGAGACCTGGCAATTATCATGTAGGTTGCAGGAGGATGAACAAGGTCAGGGGCTATTGTTTGCATTCTAGCTGACATATATTTTCTTTGTACAATATACATAGACTAATTTTATTTGAAATAACCTGTATCTTGCAGTAGCTGTAGAATGTATAGTTTGTATTGAATGTGAACAGGTAGATAGTAAGTTAACCATATGCATATAAATATAAAAAAAATGCAAACATAGAAACATGCATCTGAAATTAGGCATAATAATTGGTGTTGAAAATAGGTAGAGCTGAAAGTTTAACCAAAGTAAACGTAAACGAATTATACAAACACCAGCAATCAGTACAGTGGGGTTATAAAAAGAACTGTAAGTGCTCTTCAAGAACAGTAACTTGCTAATAAACACTGACTATGACAAGGATTTAAATCACCTTTTCCTTAATACAGAGAATCACAAGAAAAGAAATAAAACACTGAATGATCTCAAAAGGCTTCTCATGGTTTAGAGAATGTTTTTCAGTTAGGTAGAAGATTGCATCCAAATCCCTCAGGCTAGCATGATGATCTGAAAACAATAAATGTTTTATATGAGCACTAATGCTTCAATAAATGTAGTGACTAGCTTAAAATAAAAAGCAGATTAACTTAACTTCAGCTTCTTTCACTTTTCTAACTAGTAGAGGGCAGACTGGAAAACTGTTTTCAAACCTTTCCATTCAGAGGAGAAACTTATCAGCTTTTCCAACAGGGACAGCATCATTAAACTTGTCTTTTTACTCATTTCTCTCCAGCTTTTGAGTATGTACCTGTTAATAGCAAGTTTTCTAGGCAACTTCCTAAAAACCAGTTGTAAACCTGAAGGTAGGTGAGATAAGCTGATTGTCACAACAATGACTGGACTAGTTCACATCAAAGATCAATGTAGTCTATTGTATGATGCTACACAGAGACCTGAATGCTTTCAGGGCCAGAATTTAGAGTTTTTTTTAAAAAACAGAAAAGCAGTTTAAGAATACATAGCCAGTTACAATTAGAGTGTTAAGTTTTACAAGCATCATATTAGCCGTCTTGAAGTTGCTGCCTTGTAGAGAATCACAGATTGGTAGGATTTGGAAGGGACCTCGAAAGATCATCCAGTCCAACCCCCCTGCCAGAGCAGGATCACCTAGACCAGGTCACACAGGAACATGTCCAGGCGGGTTTTGAATGTCTCCAGAGAAGGAGACTCCACAACCTCTCTGGGCAGCCTGTTCCAGTGCTCTGGTACCCTCACAGTAAAGAAGTCTTTAATTATGTTTAAGTTGAACCTCTTGTGTTCTAGTTTGTGACCACTGCCCCTTGTCCTGTTGCTGGGCACAATTAAGAAGAGTCTGGTCCCATCCTCCTGACACCATCAATGAGATCCCCTCTCAGTCTCCCCTTTTCAAGGCTAAACAGACTCAGCCTTTCCTCATATGGGAAATGCTCCAGTCCCCACATAATCGTAGTGACCCTACGCTGTACTCTCCCCAGTAGTTCCTTGTCCTTCTTGAAATGGGGAGCACAGAATTGGGCACAATATTCCAGATGAGACCTCACCAGGGCAGAGTAAAGGGGGAGGATAACCTCCTCCAACCTACCAGTCACACTCTTCTTAATACACCCCAGGATGTTTTTGGCCTTCTTGGCCACAAGGGCACATTGCTGGCTCATGGTCATCCTGCTGTCTACCAGGACTCCCAGGTCATTTTCCGCTGAGCAGTTCTCCAGCAGGTCAGCCCCCATTCTGTGCTGGTACATGGGGTTGTTCTTGCCCAAATGCAGTACTCTATGCTTGCCCTTGTTGAATTTCATTAAGTTTCTCTCTGCCTAACCTCCCAGCCTGTCCAGGTCTTGCTGAATGGCAGCACAGCCTTCTGATGTGTCAGCCACCCCTCCTAGCTTTGTATCATCAGTGAATTTGCTGGAAATGCACTCTGTCCCATTGTCTAGGTCACTGATGAATATACTGAACAGAGCTGGACACAGTACCAACCCCTGAGGAACACCACTAGGCCTGGGCTTCCAATTAGACTCTACCCCACTGACCACAACTCTCTGAGTTCTGCCCTTCAGCCAGTTCCCAAACCACCTCACTATCCATTCATCCAGACCACACTTCCTGAGTTAGGCTGTGAGGATGTCATGTGAGACAGTGTCAGAAGCCTTGCTGAAGTCAAGGTAGACCACATACACTGCCTTCCTCTTATCAGTCCATCAATGGACTGATATCAAGACAATTTGATTTATCAAAGACAATTTGATAAATATTGGAGAAGATTTTTGGCCAGACTGGCAAGAATCCTTGGAGCAGGGGCATGCCAACCAGATGCTCTGAAGGACACCAGCTTGCCATGTCTCCAGCTTCCAATTTTATCTCCAGAGAAAAGAATGGCCACAGAGGCAGTGTGAGTCGCGGCACTAGAAACTTAGGAACGCTGCACTTTTTTGGGATGATGGGATCCCTTTCCAATGGGCCTTCAATTCAAAGGACTCACAAAGAAGAAAAATAGCGTGCAAGGAAGTGAAAAAGAAAATAACAAAAAAACCCCACACAAAACAGTGAGACTGCTATCATCAGCAAGTACTACAAATCCTCATGTGCAGGACACAGGCTACAGGAGAGTACCCACAGGTCTAGATTCTAGGACCTCACCCCCTCGGACACCCACCCTGATGTAGAATCTCATGCTGACCTGGAACCCAAACTAGAACTTGCTCCAGAACCAACAACAAGCTAGAACCTGCTCTAGAACCAGTGAGTTAGCTAGAAACATGATCTAGAACCATAAAGTGAGCTAGAACTTTATTGGGAACCAAGAAGCAGTCCAAACAAAAACAGCAGTCCTGAAACAGCAAGCAGTCCAGAACCAGCAAACAAGATAAACCATGATTACACTCTGGAACCAACCAGTGACCTGGAACCTGATATAGGACAAAAAATTGAGCTAGAACCACCTCTAGAACCAGAGTGATCTAAACTCTGCTCTGGAACCAGAACAAGCTAGAAACGTGATCTAGAATCTGATCTATAACTAGAAACCAATCTAACCCAGGTGGCCAAGAAAGCCAATGGCATCCTGGCTTCTATTGGAAATAGTGTGGCCAGCAGGACTAGGGAAGTTATCATGTCACTGGTGAGACTGCATCTCAAATACTGTGTTCAGTTTTGGGCTCATCCATTCCAGAAAGACATTGAGGTGCTGGCGCATGTCCAGAGAAGGGCAATGAGGCTGGTGAAGGGACTGGAGCAGAAGTCTTATGAGGAGCAGTTGAGGGAACTGGTGCTGTTTAGTCTTGAGAAGAGGAGACTGAGGGGAGACCTTATTGCCCTCTACAACCTCCTGAAAGGAGATTGTAGCAAGGTGGGTGCTTGTCTCTTCTCCCAAGTAACAAGCAATAGAGGAAATGGCCTCAAGTTGTGCCAGGGGAAAGGTAGATTGGATACTAAGAAAAGAAAACATTTCCAAGAACCATTTGTTATCCTCATCAGCAGTGAAGGCTTTACCATTCAAGACACTTTGTAAAGAACAAAACAAATGGTAGTCTGATGGGGCCAGGGCTGGCAAATATGGTGGATGTGGTAACACATCCCATCCAAGCTGCAACAATTTATGATGAGTGACCAAGCTGGCATGTGGTCTAGCGTTATCATGGAGAAACACAACACCTTTGAGATTCACCAGTTCTGGATGCTTCTGTTTGATGGCATTGGTTAATTAATCCAGTTGACGACAGTACATGTCCAAATTAATGGTTTGGTTCCTTGGAAGTAATGCAAAATATACAATACCTTGGAAATCTCAGCAGACTGACAGCATAACCTTTCTTTGGTGAATATCTGCTTTGGAAGTGCTTTGAGCTGGTTCATCACACTTGCTCCAAGATCACAGAATCACAGAACATTAGGGATTGGAAGGGACCTCAAAAGATCATCAAGTCCAATCCCCCTGCCGGAGCAGGAACACCTAGATGAGGTTACACAGGAAGGCGTCCAGGCAGGTTTTGAATGTCTCCAGTGAACTCTCTGGGCAGCCTGTTCCAGTGCTCTGTCACCCTCACTGAGAAGAAGTTTCTTCTCAAATTTAAGTGGAACCTCCTGTGTTCCAGTCTGTGTCCGTTACCCCTTGTCTTATCATTGTTTGTCACTGAGAAGAGCCTGGCTCCATCCTCGTGACACTCACCCTTTAAATATTTATAAACATTAATGAGGTCTCCCCTCAGTCTCCTCTTCTGCAAACTAAAGAGACCCAGCTCCCTCAGCCTTTCCGCATAAGGGAGATGCTCCATTCCCTTGATCATCTTTGTAGCCCTACACTGGACTCTCTCCAGCAGTTCCCTGTCCTTCTTGAACTGAGGGGCCCAGAACTGAACGCAATATTCCAGATGCGGTCTCACCAGGGCAGAGTAGAGGGGGAGGAGAACCTGTTTGTCATTCATCGTTTTTGTAGGTGATTCATTTTTCATTGCCTGTTATCATATGTTTTAAAAATGGATTTTTTTGTTTTGTTTCACGTTTCAAGAGAGAATCACGGATGTCAACGTGCTTAGTGAGATGAATGTCTTTGAGCTCACGTGGTACCCAAATACTGAGCTTCCTAACACATCCATGTTTTTAAAATGGTTTTCAAGGCTCAATTTTGGTATGTTTAGATTATCAGCCATCTCTCGTGTTGTTTAAACACCGATTGAAATAGATCAATGACTATTTTGTCGTTATCAACTTCGATTTACCTTCCTGAGCATGCTGCATCTTTGACATCAAAATCTCCAGACAAATATCTAGCAAACTAATTCTGACACTGCAGTAGTTTTAAGGCATCTTCACCATACACATCACAACTTTTTATGACATTGCACAATGTTTTTTCCTTTTCAGAAGTAATACAGCAAAATATGACTAAAGTGTTTCTTTTGATTTTTCCATTTTGAAACTCACACCAAATAGATAATTCTTAACAAAATTGTGCACTTTTTCATTTTCTAAAACAAGCTTGAAGTCCCAGCTGTCAAGTTACACCATGAATTTGCAGTTTAAAATGAAGTTAGTCATATTTCAAGATGTGTATGTCCATTTATCAAAAAAACCATGCAATTACTTTTTACTACGCCACTCCAATAGTTATGTTTATACAGTGGAACTTAAAAGAAATCTTTTCAGATTTTATCAGAGAGGTCGTTGCTCCAAAGTTGGGAATAAGAGAAGTTAAAGTAATATAGTTCACAGTTTACCAGAAAATTTTTTGTGCCAAGATAGTGAAGAAAGAGAGTAATATGCTTTTAGTTAAAACAGAAATAATTTTTCAATGGTAATTTATTTTTTTACTGCAGATAATTAAAGAGCTGAAAGATGAAGACTGGAATATGGGTAATATCGTCCATACATTAACAAACAGACGGTATGAAGAAAAATACATTGCATATGCAGAGAGCCATGATCAGGTATTGTATATCTTAGTTTATGTACAAGAAAGTAAAAGATGAAGTTTAGAGTCTTAGTGGGTTTTGGTTTTTAAAAATTGAGGCAAGAGTTCAGAAGGATAGGCAACAATTCCAGAGACAGGTAGATCAGGACTACTGTGCATCTTTTTTTGTTGCTTATTTTTTTTAGGAAGACATATAATCCATACTTTTGAAAATCTGTTTTCCATAAAGTAAGCTCGAGCACTATTTATAAACATAAAAAATATCACAATTTAGCAAATTTATTCACTGAATCAGTGTTTGCAACTGTTGTATCCCCTTCAAGAATGTTATTTGTCTGAAAGGATTGAAAATACTGATATTCTTTAGATCTAAATGAAATATTCCTTTAACAGTTTGATTCATAGCACAGCAATTGTAATGGTTCTGTATACAGAAAAATGAAAAAATGACAAGTTTCTATAAAGCTCATCTCCCAGTCTTTTGTAATGGTTGTTTCTGAAGAATCGGAAACACATTGAGAATTTTAAAATTAGGAACTTAAAAAAATGTAATCTGTTTTCTAATAAAAGGTTTAAGTAACCTACCTTCAACTCTTCCCTCTCTATAATAAGAGACTGACATTCTACTTCCTATACCTTCTGTAATAGAAGTCTACAGTAGTGTCCAAAATGAGACCAATATTTTAGTTTTAAAAGATATTTCTGACTTTATCAGCTTCCTTTTGTTTACCTGTTTACATTCTTATCTTAGACTGTTATGCAGTGTTCACTTTAGGCATGAGAGAAGAGTACCAATCCTGTTAAAGAACTTCAGGTATTACTTGAAAATGCATATTATTCTGTGATTAATTGCTTTTTTAAATGCGTATTCTTCATCCTAAAGCATGATATATAACATTACTATTGCTGTTCTTTTATTTCATGCTGTATTTTATCAAATGAGTTTTTTTCCATATCACTGTGTATATTTGTTTTAGAATCTCATACTCGGAAACTTCTATTTATTTTGAATTAAAAAAAAAGAGCTATAACAACTGTAGATGGACACTGGGATAATATATGAAAAGTAGGACAGAGAAACAAAATGAGATTGTAGGTAAAATTCAGTGTGGAGATACCTGAAGTAATGCATATGAGGGACAGAAACAATTCCTGTTTCTTGTATGTAATAATGGGCCACGAGGTAAATATTTCCAATCAGAATATAGGGCCCTGTGGTTATAATAAATCTGTGAAAATAGCAACTTGGTGCTAATAGCTGTCAAAATAGCAGATACAGTACTTGGAATTATGGATTGAATGGAGACCAAAGGCAAAATCAGTGTCCCACTGTAGTCTTTCATGGTTTGCATCTTGAATGCTTGAGGCAGATTTGGTCCTGTTACCTCAAAGGATATATAGCATAACTGGAAAAAATGCTGTGAGAGTTGATAATACTAATAGCAGGTGTGGATTGGTTTTCATAAGAAGTAAACTAAATAGAATAAGACTCTTCAGGGAAGAAAAGAGATCATTTGGCATAGAAAACATGAATAGGGAACATTAGCCTTCTTTTCTAATGGAAAGATTAGGGGACATTAACTGACACTAGAAAATGTCATGTTCTGAGTCCAGAACATTGCAGTCTTCAATCTTGCCACTGTTGCATAGGATTTTTTTTTAAAGATTATTTTTTACTTGAAGGAATCATCTAAATATGCTGTTACATTGTTAGTTCGTAAACTAAGAGATGGTGATGCTTTTTTGCTAGACCTGTTTACAACTCATCTGTCTCTCTGGAATCTAGTGAGTTTTCGTGCTACAGTGTAAAATGAGAATTGAGCTAATTGAACAAAAATTAACTATTTAAATGCAAACGCTCCAAAAATGTTTTCAACTACCTGCATGCTAATATATTAGAATAATCCTTGTTACATAGTATATGTATTGTGTGGCCTTTCTCAAGTAAGAGCAAACACTAGCAAGTTAATAATTCAGTCACTCTTTTCAGACAAAATTACTATTTTGTTTTTCTCTTGTGTGAAATCACAGAAAACCAATCACATTCTTGATTGCTTATAAATGAATGCTTCATATTCACTCTGCATCTCTAATTCAAGAGTTGTTAATAGCCCTTTATTTGTACATCCCAGAAACTTGAGATGTTTTACTTTCCTTTTTTTTTTTTGGTGTAAAAATTCCAAAATGGTAGGTCTCTGTGGCTTACTGTAAAGTGGCAATGAAGAAGATGATCACTATGAGCTGATGATCATTGGCAGTGGCTGGATGTTTTCTTTGTGAACAGGGACTAGGTCCTGCACACCGAGCCATGTCCTTGACTCCTTGACAGTCTTCTGAGTCCTCTCCTTATGATACAGAGCACTTGCTTTAAAGAAATGTTAGAAACACTTCCATTACATCCAAGGCTTTTCTTCACTTTTTTTTTAAACTGTTATAGGCACTTGTTGGTGATAAGACATTGGCGTTTCGACTGATGGATGCAGAGATGTATACAAACATGAGTGTGCTCTCGCCTCTTACTCCAGTTATTGATCGTGGAATACAGCTTCATAAAATGATTCGTCTCATTACTCATGCACTTGGAGGAGAGAGCTATCTGAACTTCATGGGTAAGTAATTTTAGGAACAAGTCTTTCATTTTCTCATCTACAGAAGGCTTGGCAGGGAAATAAAATATCTGACATCATCTTACATCTGTAGTATTTATCACAATGCTGAAGTTTGGGGCATAAATGCTTTTCTAAAGATTTAGTACAAAAGGTAATAATGCATTTTTTCTGTCTGTAACATCTTTTATAAGACAAGAAAAATATAATCAGTTTGGTTCCTAATTGTAACAGAAACAACTTTTTAAAATGTGGTAAGCTCTAGTTTGGTTTATTCTGATACATCTCAAACTTTAATTGTTCTGCAAGTTAGTCAGGTGGTGATCTTTGCTTTACACAACTGAGCTGTCTTTCATCTCTGTTCTACTCTCCTAAACTTTTTAGGGTAACTGAATTTACTAAAGATAGCTCTGTGCTTATTTCACTATTAGTTGTCAGGAAGTAATCTGGAATCAGTTTGTTTGTATTTCGTTGCTGCTTAGTGAAGAGCAAGGATTTAATGAGGTAGACAAACACAAATCACAGAGATAGAAGGCACATCTTGCAATGGAAGCAGGGAAGTAGTAAGAGTTAGCAATACCTTTTTTTTGTTCATAAGCTGTAAAATAAAACTCCTGCATTTCTTCCTAAGCACTATTGCTACAAGAATGTCCGACTGTTAATCTCATTTAATCAGCAAGTTATAGTTCCATGTAGTCATCTTAAAAGTTAAATGTTGTTCTTAGTTTTGCACGAAGTGCTGAAGCTATTTATGCTTGATGCTCTTTAGCATATTCACGTTCTTTAATTTCTTCGCAAAATAATCCTTACTTTATAGTAAAAACACAATTCTGTAATGTTCTGTGTAGCAGTTGTGCTAGTCTCAGGCTGAAAGCATGCTGTAGAAGACCATCTCAATTTTCTGACAATGAAACACTTGAAAACTGTAGAAATTTTAGTTTAATGTTGCCTTCAGCTGTCATTGTTAAATATTTTGTATTATCAAGTTAAAGGGCATTGTTGGTTTTATGTTGCCCTTCTTCCATAATCGTAGAATCATTTGGTGGGAAAAGATCTTTAAGATCACTTTGTCTATCATCGTATTTTTCAAAATATATTTTTCTAATGAAAAAACTGGAGAACTTCAATAAGGCGATAGTGGCATTTAATTTAGACATGTCTGTACTGATACACTTCTCTTCCTGGGTATTAGAAGAGCACTCTCTAAAAATGCCGTGTTTGTGGATTTTCTTAAAAAGAATTAAAGCAGCTTCAGTACAGAACAAATTCATTATATGTTATACTAGTAAAACTATTATTTCCAATAAAATGCCGATTATTTTTTTGTTCCCTAAGATTGAAAGAAGACTTAATGAAATAAATATTAAGTGTGTAGTCAGGCATCAAAATGTGCAAGGTATGATTTCCATTCAAACTAGTGATACTACAATACTTAAGGAGACAGGTGTTTAAAAAATATACCAGCTGAACTGCAGATGTCTCTGCCCCAGATTGACTTGGTAAGGTTAGAAAAATGATCAGTAATTCAATGTGGCATGTTAAATCCAGTGTGCCAAGGCAGGTTGATCGAGCAATTAATATTGTGTATCCTTGAGTACTGCAAATGTTTCAGTAACTACATTATAGTTTGCTGTATGTAAAAGGTGGAAAGATTGTAATAAATACTGGAGGAGAAAACAAACTCGGAATGTTCACAGTGCGGTGTACTTAAAATGCACATTGCAGCATGCTATCTCGTTAAGCAAATACAGTGACAAATAGGTTCTTTAACTTTCAGTTTTGAGCAAATGCCAAGGGTGAGGAAGAGAAGTCTCCTGTGGGGTGGGGGGAAGAGTGGAAATCTCTTAACAACACCTGGAGAAGGCACTCCAGGTGTCTCTGTGCTTCCCTAGATCCTTCCATAAATGTCTTCTACCTTCTTTTTCTGAAAACAAAGACACCAAATCAACACTGCTTTCTCAATGCTGTGCTCACCTTAAGGAAAAACAAACTACTTCTAAAAAATGTTGTATTAGAAGTGGAAATCTGTGTTCTCAAACATATCCTCAAAATTTGCTTTGAAGACCTGAAATAATAATTACACCTGTGTCAGAGTATCATTTGTACTCCATATGTGCAAGCAGATTCCTGTTGAAAGAAGTTGTGCCCCATTGAACACTGATTGTGGCTTTCTCCTGTCTTTCTCACTTTTCATACTGGACAGTTCTCTGTCCTCCTTACAGGTATCTATAAGAAACTATTGCCAAAATCTTGGAAGCTGTTATTCTTATTTTTCATGTTTATGGATCTTTAATTTTCACTGAAGGATTTTCTTTTCCTTCCCTATTGCTTATATCCCAGTATAGGCAATGAATGATGTCTGCAGACTTAAATGTGAATAGGAAAGTTTTGTCATTTCAGTAAATTTGTTCCCTTGTAACACAAACCATTGGAAGCATTCTTTCCTCTGGTCTGTATTGCAGTTTTCTGTGCAGCTTTGCGAGTAATCTCTGGGGCTTCATGTCCATCTGGCATGGAAGACTTAACCTAGAAAGGCAAAAACTCCATATGCTTGGCTGAAAATGAGCATGACAGTGATAAACGCCCTGCTGTAGTGAATGAACGCTCTGGAAGGCCAGTTTGCTTAACAGTGATAGTAAAATAGTAGCAATTGTTTTTAAACTGTTCAACCCAACTCCTGTTTTAGATAGTACTGACCAGTCTCAGTATTACCTCTGAGCAGAAGATGTCAGATGACTTTAGGAAATGATAAATATTACAAGTCCTTCTGCACAATGCTTTCATATTGTCACAGGTGATGCTTCTTTAAAGGTTTCCTCCTTAGCTAAGCTTCCATGAAGGTATTGACATAGATGATAAGCATTTGATTGTATGATGATAAATGACACTTGAAGAGAAAGCCCCGAGCATTCACAGTGCGTGCCTATATTAATCAGTGGAAGTAATTTTATTACTGGAAATAATAGTGGAAAAAAATAACCACTGTTGTTACCCACTGCACAATGTTTACTTCAGTGTAAAAACTCTCACATATTTCCTGAAAATAAGAGTTGAACTTACCACGACAAGACTGTTTTGTCTGTACATTCCTTCATTTTCCTTTGGCTTAATTTTCCATCCTGTTCCTGTAGATGTCTTTCCTTTAAATGTTCTTTTTCTATTCTCTTGCTTGTTGCTTGTGCCCTTCACTTAAGGAGGCCTTGCAGGACATGGGAAAGAGCTGTGCCAGTTCTTCAGTGAACTCATTTCCATGTTCTTGCCTTACCATACAAGATACAGCTGTTTGTCTCTCTAGATTTAGACAAGCAAGGTAGCTGCTTTCTTGCCTAGAATACAAATAATATCCAGCCCAAGGGGCCTTAAATAGTTTTAGGTCCTTGGGATCCTTCATAGCACAAATATTTACTGGTTTATGCCACTGTAGGGTCTTACTTTTCAGCTTACTAACTAACTTTCTTGCTTTTTCATTTGAAATGAGCTTAAACTGAAATCTGTTGATTTAAATGGAGATTAGTTCCTACATGAACCTCTAGCACTATTTTTCATTATTTTTCGTAGTAAAACAACTCTTAATTAGGACTCCAGAGACCAAGTGTCTCTCCCTGCAAAGCAACTTTTTTTTTTCCAATATATAGAAGCTAGAAAATGATTTGTAGTTACTAGAACACTTTTTTAATGCAATCATGAGCATTGACTGATGGCATTACTGTTTGGTTTGCCATTTACCTCTGTTTCACTAATACAAAATTTATCTGTGAAGCTTCCTTTTCCAACTTGTTAGTTCATTTGCACAGTAGTTTATATACTTTCCCTGTGCTTAGGGGTTTTTTTTGGATGCACTAAACCAGTTTCTTCTGTAATGTTTTGGTACGATAAGACCTTGTTCTCTCCTTGGCCTAAAAAAGAAAATTGAATAAAATGCTATGCATCGTCTCTTCTTTTGAGTGTTTTGGTGAGAAACATTTTTAATTTACTTTATTTTAAAACTAAGCGATTTTTGTAACATAAGACTTTTGAAAATACGTTGACAAGAAAAGGAAGGGTGCAAAACCTGTTTCAGTAGAACCAGTATCGGGGTGGAAAATGTGTATACAATTTACTGTAAAAGTATTGATTGAAAACTTGAAATCGAAGTGACACAACATAAATTACAATGTAAATGGGAATGCTACTTAAAACAGAATCTGAAATACCGTTTTTATTGCTACCTATTCTAGGTAAAGAAATTGTATAAAGAACAAGGATATTTAGCTTAAACCTAAGGAGTTTGTTTTCTTAGATGTTGCAAGCAAGTCACTTTGAATTTTTACACTTTTTTTTCCCTGTGTGCTTTCTTACGCTTATTATTTCTGTGCACTGGTTACAGTGTGACTTCTTAGTCCATGGCCTAAAAAATGGCCTTGCAAGAGAAAATGCTCTTTAAGCTAGCTCCCTTCAGTCAGGTCCTTTTGATAAACAACCTTGAAGTGCTCAGTTGGTAAGGATGGCAGATTAGGATACATAGTTTGAAGTTGTCCTTCTGCTTACCCAGTATATTTGGCCAATGTGCCTTCTGTGCTACCAGTTCTACCATGTGCTTTAATTTCATGGTAGTCTGACAGAAACAATTATCTTCATTTTAAGGTAGAAAACAAGAATGGTGTAATCTGAAATCTTACCTACAGTTTGCCGTAGATAACGTGTACCGTAGTGATAGACTACCTTCAACTTTGTTCCACAGTACCCTGTATGCCCCCACTCCCATTTGAGGTGTGTAGTAGCAGGGAGAAGAATCTGAATAATTAGATTAGGCTTAATTAATTGCTTTGAGAGTCTCTTCTGGAAGGTCTAGAGGTGCAAACTGTTAATTTGAGGTTTGTTTAGAGTTGACTGAAACGAACTTCATTTCTGCGGTTGCTCACAACACATTAGAGCAACTGGGAGAAAAGCAATCGAAGAGAGAGACTGCCTCATAATTTAAAGCTAAACCACACACACAGACAAATTAGTTATGTCTGAATACT